AAATGTCAGCATAAGCCATTTCAGTCCTCAGCATGTGGTGAGAAGCCGGCGCAGAGCTCAGGGTGGTCTACAACAGACTGAACGAGGACGCGTACGCCAGCAGGGATGCTGCGATGCTGAGGTGCGCTCTACAGACTTGTTTTCTGCTGGGGTCTTCCTTCATGTAGCTGGACAGTTAAACAAAGGCAAGGCTAAACCCAAACCAGTCCTCGTGTCACCACTAGAGCTCAGAGCTAGCTCTCCCCAGATGCCCAGTCACAGCACGTAAGCATGGCCCTACATCTCTCCTGGGTCCTACGAGATGTCTCCAAGTCACAAGTGTTATTTTGGGTGGAGAAGCGGTTAGCAGGGCCTGAAACAAAAGGAGGGAACGAGCTAGAAACAGCAAAGCAGGTATTTGGGACCACTGCTCCACTGTATTCCCTTGTCCCCTCTTAACTAATAGGGTATATGTTCAGCCACTCAAAGCATGCAGAGCATTATGTGCCCCCCAGCATCACTGTGCCTCTTCCTCTCTTGGACCCCTGTCCCATGCCAGGCACCCCAAATCCATGGGATAGCAGCAGCACTGAGTACACAGACCACAGCAGGACAGCATGGAAACATGGACAGGGAAAGGTGGTCCCAAAACATGAAACCTGCCTGCCTACGTGGTCCCAGTGTGAACCACGACAGTGCCTAACTCACTAGAGATGTTCCCTGCCTTGTAAAACTCCATCCTCTGTGTAAAACTCCTGCCTCTACACACCTGAAGCCTCACAAGGAACCTAGAAAGGGACCCACTGAAACCTGCTGAGCCTGAAGCCACGTGTCCTTCCACGTGGAGACTGCTGGGGCATGAGCAGCCAGGGCTGAGGGCTCATACATGGGCCCTGACCATACACCATTAACCACACATTCAAAATAAAGTACCAGATTTAGTGTTCCGAGGATCCAGGCCTCCTATGGACTTTGGATCATTTACTTTGGTACGGAAACTAAAAGTAATGAAACTTATATGTATTATCAACAGTTCAGAATTACATGTGAAACTAGGGGACTTAGATGACTCTAAGGCAGTGTATGTGTTCCTTTCTTTAGTACTAGTCTTTGCCATCTTTCCTGCTATTCAAATGTACTTCCTAAATGAACTAAATCACTGCCCATGTGATTTTCAAAAGTAATTCATTTTTAGCTAACGTGTTCCAGATGGATGGAACACAAAACGTGCTAAAATAGTAAACATGAAATTAAAAATCCTCCCCTCAGCAGAAAAACATCCCCCCCATACTTACAAAAGAAGGACGACTTTTTGCTTTCTAGTTCCCCTGCTAAACTTCCACAAGGCCAGTAACCATAAGAACCTCAAACTGCATAAACCATAGAAAAGCCAAAGGAGCTACCTGTATTATTGTTAAAAAGTTCCTGCCAAAATCTCCCCCATCCCAATTACCTTTCCTTTCCTCTGTCAGCTGTGAGGACTCTTCCTCAGCCTTAACTCACACCTTTTCTCCCGGCTGGCAATGCATGGGCTGAAGCAAGCACGAACCAGCGTATCATTATTGCAGACCCATGTCTCCCTTCTGCACTGGCATGTAGTTAAACCAACGTTAAACCACTCCATACTCCTTTTCTTTTGTTCCTTTCCCACGGAACTGTGTTTACAGTGTTTCTGTTGTATTTTCTGTCACCCAAGAAGACCCTGTTGGGTGACAATCAAAAGTTATTCAAAGGGTTTACTGACTTGCATAAGGACTTGAGAAATAATAAATAACAAAAAAGAAATGTCTGTTGTTTGCATCACTGAAACGGCTGCCCATACAGCAATACACCACTGAAGCACATGGAACAATTCGCTGTTCATCCTTCACCCCTCCTTCAGTTCAAATTGAGCATATATCCAATGCAAAGATTGAGAAAAATTGACCTAGCTCCTGTCTGTATATTCTGGGGACATTCTGCACTGGGTTGGCAGTAGCTCCACCAGTACAAAACCCCAAGTCCGAGGGTTCAGACCTGCTGAAGACAGGTTTTACGCATCCACTGTTTTATGAGCTTTAAGTGCAGCAAGCTATGCACTTGCAGCCCTTGCTATACATTGAGATAGTATGTCTCCAAACAGAGGATGTATCACCAGAATAGCTGTATCAATGCAATTACACTGATACAACTATTCCCAATATAGACAGGGCCTTAAACAGAAATGCCTGTGACAGGCAGTGTTTACCACTGGCCTATTTACAAAACAGCTCTCAGCTTGGTTCAAAAACCAGCGTATAAAATGTTCCTTGTTACCTGTAAGTGGACAGTGATGATTATAGCTCAGTCTATGTTATTATTGCCTGATTTTCCCAGTTTGGGTTTTCACATATTGACTCCTTACTCAAGGTCTTTTAACATAGATTTGAAATGTGAATATGTTTTATTTTTTCCCCAGTAAATATACAATACACACTTCAACAGTACTATTAACCAACTTTTTATGCCAATTAAACTCCGCTGCACTAACAATACCAATGAAACACATTAAGAGGTCATACTTTTTCGTGAACAAACTGTAGCCAATAAACAGTTTTTTTAAAAATAACAAATTGAAAACCAATTCTAAGTGCTGCCACAACATCCCTTCTCTTTAAACACATTATTCACAATAAATGTTTTCAATTCTTTTAAAAAAAGAAGAATACTTCTTTTAAAATAGTAAATTAAATGGCATATTTTAAAAAATATGTACTGTGGTTCATTGGAAGTACACTGTATAGAAAAGAGAGAGAGAGAAAAAAAAAGAAGAGACATCACCTGTAAGATAATGGAGACACTTTGCGATACACAACACCACCTTATGTAATATTGTAAGCAAATTATTAATGAACAAAAATGTACAGAAGCAGATGGACAAGTTAGTGAATATCATGGTACTGCACAGCTTTAATACTGACACACATTTACTTTCCAGTGGAAGAGATAAAACACGTATTTGAAAGTAATTGGGATGGCTTTATCGAAGTCTAATGATACTGAATTTCGACTAGAATATAGTGAGTAAGGTGTTCCACCAAAGCTCAGCACAAGCTTTCGAATTAAAAGCAAAAGAAATCTACCAGTGACTGAGTTACACATTTTCCAGAGTATTAAATTTGAATTGTACCCTGAATAGTCTTCGCTTCATATGATAATACCAAAACAAAAAACCATACATATGTAAATATGATGCCTTCTTTATCTTGCTAGAACATTTTTGCACATTTTTAAGTAATGGTTTTCACTATAATGTTTTAACAAGCAGGAAAACGACATATATTCGTTGGTCACATATATAAATAAATGCATACATTTTTTTCTCAACTTTTTTGGTTTGTAACCTGCTAAATAAGAGTCTTGACCTTAAGGAAGTTAACTAGCATTTTGTTAATATTCAATAGTGCTGAGTTACAGTTGATGGCTGTAGTGTTTTATCTTATCATGGAACAAGTTAATGAAATGAAAAGCAACACATATTTAGCATTGTAATTTACTTTTCTAAAATTCTGTCATTACTAAAAGTGTTCTTAATACTGGTGAGCTCCAAGGCAATATATAAAACAACATAGACTGGTTATAGGAAAAGGGTATTCAAATGGCAACTTGTTTTCATGGTCAGATATAACTAACAGAAACAAGCTGTAGGATGCGATATTTAAATTAAGCATCAAATGAGTGGACTATCCACATACAATATTCTAAGAAAAGCTTGAGAATTGACTCACTGAGATTTGAGAGGTACAGAAGGTTTGGACAAAGTCATGAAAATTAATGAAGAGACAGGATGCTGTCATTAATGTCCACTTACAGAGTCTGGTTTATTCAAAAAACGTATAAACATGCGCTATTTCCTCACCATAGTAGGGTTTGAAGCCACTCACTAAACACAGGTCAAAGATTTTCTTTGCTTATATCTAACTTTTTGGATGTATTGTATTGCCAGGAACGTACTCAAATGCAAGCCGAAAATAATTTGACCATTGCTTTCCTTCTAAACTCTAAACATTTTACGATGAATTTAGTGGATCCAGCTTCAGCTTTTGCAGACTTCAGGTAATAGAATACAAAGGTTTGTTTAGACTGCGTCAAAACAATTAATGTCATGAATTTCAGTGGTGCAGCTCTATCCTCTATTGTACTGTACATGTATTGGAAAGATGAAATAAGATACTCTGACACTTCAATTTTTTTTGGAAGCAGCCTGAATACATCTTAATAATAAATTGCATCCTTAACTACTTACTAGGTATTCCTTGGGTTTATATTGTTTGTTTCTCCTGGGAAATCTCTGTCTTATATTTGGGGTTGAAGAAATTAATGGTACTAATTCTTTTAAAACTGCAATATAAAAACAGCTTTAGTGAAACACCTTAAGTTCTTTTGTTTGTAGCAAGGTTTTACTTAGTGGCATGGGATGGCTAAAAACAGATACTAAGGGCATCATTCTAGTGAAAGGGTCTAGGCCATCTCATGCTACCTTTAATTTTCATGTTCACTCTTTAATCTCACGCTACCAACTTCTGACCCCTTCTTAAATAGGAAGAGCAACTATGTTGCTTGCTTTTAAAAGATTTAAATCTGCCTCTGATGTCTCCACTGACATCAGTTTTGCCTGTCACTTTCTCATTTCTACACCCCAATGGAAACCCACCTAACATACTCCTTTACATCCAGCATTATCCAAAGTAGCTTACAGTACGTAAACCTTCTTCACACATTCAGTCTTTTTTTTTCTTCATGTCATGAGGAGTAGAGTTTTGTGCTTATCACCAAATAAAATTGCAGTGCAAACTTTAAACATAAAAGTTACACAATTAAAAGTTAATATATGGCACCACAGCCTATTAATTCACATATAGTACAACAGACCAGTAAAAACAGACATGAATATGAACATAGCTAAAAAGAAGGTGAGCTTGCATAGCAATGCAACAAAAGAAATTATATACAGAAGGAAATTCTTTTCATCCTGGAGGGTGATTTTTTTTTCCTTTCTTTTTTTATATACTCCTGACAAGGAATAGTTTAAGGTGGATGGTGTATTAAAGAGAAGAACACAAGTAAAATATCTGTGGGATATGTGTGGCTGTGTGTCTTTACATTGCATTTACAGTTCTTTTAATAGTACATAAATAAAGAAAATGTTCATTGCACTGTTTAGTGTCATCACTTCCATGAGTTCAGACCTGATGGTCCATCAGAGCAGCTTGCAATGTGTCTTCTCAACTACTCTATAGAGAGAAACAGAAAGAAAGAGGTTGTAATGAGGAGGAAAAAAAACAACAAACCAAAACCAAGCAAGAAAACAACAAAAGCCAAAGCCTATGGCAATATTACTGAAGCACAGGATGAATATTTATTAGGCTGGGAGAAGAGAGTTAATTGCTTCTAAGATGAAAAGCGATGGATGCTAAAATTCAGCACTTACCAACGCCATATCTGAGACAGCACCTTTCAGGGTTTGGGGATCACCACCAGCTCTCTTATGAGTTACTGGGCAGTAACTGTCAGGAAGTACTGAGGCTTTGACTTCAGCAAATAAGAAGCAGACATGCCACCAGCTACATTGCTTTTAGTAATAAACATGCCAGTATGCCTGAGCTACCTGGGGGGGGTGTGGGGGGTGTGCTACTTCAAACAATAGAGTCAAACATATGGCATCTGGTGCGACCATCACATACACAGCATTAACATGGCTTTATGCAAGGTTTAACAGATACTGAATGATAATAGAAAAAAGTCTGGAAAACAACTCCCTGGCCTGGGAAGCTGAAGAAAGAGTTGGGATAAACAACTAAAAAACTGGGCTAGAGCGCTGACAAAACAGGACCTTCATCTAAGGTTAAAAAGATCAGAATACTGCCCGTCGAGGAAGCATCACAAGCTTGCCACCATGCGCAGCAAATTCAACACCCTTTTCATTCACTCCTCTGAGAAAAATTGCCAAAGAAAAGCATACTACGCTTTGCCCAGAATATTGTCAATTACTAGGCTTTCTTTTCAATTTTCCCAGTGTTACACTAGCATTACACACTGGAAGGTGTACCAGGAAGGTAACGCTGGCATGGCTTACACAGATTTGAAATAGTCCAACCCAAGAACAGAAGAACTTCATTTGTTTGTCACCACAGACAAACACCTCAAGAAGTTCTGTGTAAATTTGAATCTGATAATCACACTCAACTTCCTCCTCTCTTCACAACGGATTTATAACTATTCTCTTTTTGCCTATTTGCGAGTTTGGACTGTAGCTAGAGATAAACTTACATAATTCACCAGTAAACTGTCCTTGACTGTTTGATCCCACATAGCCTACATCGAGAAGGTCACTGGCATTGCGTTGGTGACCTCCTCGCAAGACTTCACCTTTTCTAGGTCCGGTCGATCCTTTAGAAGAAGCTGTTCCTGAAGAGCTGTGGCCACCAGGGGATGGGAAGTTGGGTTTACTATATGGTACGAGTGCCTCTTCTAGAAAAGAACAGAAAACAAAATAAATTCCTATAAACAGGAATAAACAAACTAGTCTTATATGGACATCATATATTCCTGCCCTCAGATATCTTGTCTTGCTTTATAGCATGGCACTTTTACCTAAGAGAATACACAACTCAATATTGTATCTCACATACAAAGAAATCAGTACGAATTTAATCTTGCTTTCATGTAATCTCCTAAGTTAGTTTGTATTAATTATAGAAAGTCTAGATTTATTATGAAGTAATAGATTATGAATCATAGCTACTTTAATAAAAATAGATGCACGTACAATTTCCAAAACAATGCAGCTATGATTGGATTTTCGCTTTCAGCCGACACAAATGTGCTTTTTCCTTTTCTTCAGCTTAAATTATGGTAACCTCAGTCAATTTGGATAAAGAACTACAATATCAGCTAACTTAATTAGCTTTCAGCAGCTCAGTAATTTCTTACAATGCAAAGTACACTGAAGATTTTTTTAACTGGTTGTGAATTACACGGGAAAATATACTATATATAGCATTAGAAGTTGTAATATTTGGGGTGAGCAAATCTTCCTGAAGCTTGTTTCATGTTCCATTGGAAGCAAAAGGCTTATTTTTGCTCACTTGGATTCTTCCTCTGCGAAGACCTGTAATAATGAACTGCTCACAAGAGCAGGATTAATACCAATAAAGGATTGTATGCCTTCATACAGCATGAAGTAAATCAAGCCATCACATCTGATTAGAGTTTCCAGGAGATAATGTTGAAATAATCCTAACTTAAGAAGCAAAACAGCAGCACTGATTTAACACTGAAATAGAAGCACTGTTTTATTTCTTTGCTGTGTATGATCCACTTTTTCTTCCTCAGAAGCTGAAGAAAGAGACCTTGCTAAATATAGTTTGATTCAAGAAAGAATATGAATATATGTGCTTAACCTCAGACACAGGAATTGTCCCTTCTGAAATCAGTGGAATATCTCCTGCTTGAATCTTACATTTGTACAGTGAATCTGGACTGAAAGGGGTTTCTTTATTTTGCTTTTCCCATTGTCTTCTCTCCTAAAAAGCCTGATGAGGGGAAACAGACTTTCTTTGACAGAGGGCAGGAACACAGGAGAAAAAGTGGGTGGGGATGGCTGGAAATAAAGAGGAGATAAAAATGCTTTTATTCACAGTCGTGGAGCCTTTGCAAAGGTGCAGCAGAGGCACAAGGGATTTTCTTCTTTGTGCCCACTGCCACAGCTGAGCAGGACATGGGAATTCCTCATGCGATCTGCTATTGAACAGAACCCAATTGTAAGGTAAAGCTGTTGCAGAAGAGGGCAGGCTGCTGATTCTCATTCTCAGCCCAAGTATCTCCCTCTAGCCCTGGGCAAGGGACCAGAATATTTGCGCTGCAGGACGTAAGGGCATTTTCAGTGTTTTGTGCTGTAACTGTGTGCTGTTCTTGCTGAAACATAAAGAAACACTTAAAAGACATAGTAAAATGTCATTTAACAGCCATAGCCTCCTAAATTACGTTACTTGTTCTTTATATATCAAGCCCTAGCAATAGAATCAGATGCAAACCTGGTTTCCAAAGGCTGGCTAAAATATGGAACAGCTTGCATTAAGGCAGCAATAAAGCAAGCAGCATAAATCAGTTTAGCAGAAAGCTGGATACATTTTTAACGGATGAGGAAAGAAGTCACTAGCATTGCAAAAGAGTTTGAAAATGACATATATGGTCAATTGATTTGTTTTTCTAGTTTGTGGACTCAGGATAAGGCCTCCTTTGGGTTCAATGAAACATTGAGAAAAAACGACCTTGAATAAATACAAAGTGCATTATCATTATAGAGCATATGGTGTGTTACATTATCTGTTGTGCCCTCAGAAATAAATATAATCCATAAAATAAGCAATTGTGACATTAAATAAAGACTAAGTTTCCCACAACATTCTAGCACATGAAAGGTAGTTGTCTTAAGTCCTTAGAACGGTCTCATATTTATTGAACACTCAGAACAGAGCCCCGTGCCCAAGCCTTGCAGAGAATATGGGGAGGCTTTGCCAATGCCTTTCTCTTTGAAATACTGAGCCTCTAATTTGAAGATACAATTCTAACCCCTATGAAATCAGGGTATGTGTATGTAACAATGTTTCTATACCCCATAAGATAAGCCAAAGGCTTTTAACATTATCAAAACTATTTTAACTTGATCTAGGCACTACTTTCTTTAGAGGGGTAGCTGTGAATGTCATATTTGATGTGCTGTGACTGGGGTTCCACAGTGAAGCCGTTGGCAGGAACTCAGTGATCTTGTTTATACTGAAAGCAACCAGTGGAAACATGGTTCCCAGAATCAGGTATTTTTATTCTATTCAACTGCAAACCAAAGGTCTTGCTTTGAAAATTTCACTCACAGCATGGTCATGTCTGAATGAAGCCCCCTATGCTGCAAATAGCTATTTTCTGGAAGCTGATAGCTTGATAAATGAGAAAGTCATGTTTCAACATATTGAAAAGTAGGGCAGGATAAATCTCCAGAGATCCTTGTCGTTAAACAGCACAATTTATACCATTCAACCCCCCAGATTTAGTAATACAAACAAGCACCACATACAAAAGTAGCCTTTTTTGAATCTACCAGAGAAAAGAACACAGAGCAAGAAAGCTGTAGCACAAGAAGCTGGGATGAGAAGACAGACAGATACGAAACTCTGGCCACCCTGTGCACAAGTTTTATGAGTCCCTCAGATGGGTAAAAACATTATTTCTCCTAGGGAAATCCTTTGTCTTGCACAAAGGACATGCAATTGCTCTGGTCATCCTGAATTTGACAAGAACAAGATACCTGTAATCAATTCAGCCCTAAATTCAATGCTTGTGTATGCACTGGAAATGTCAAGATGAGGTTCTTTTTATTTAAGGACAGATAAATGCAAGTCCTGCAGGTGGGGATTTTACTACTGTATACCCTCAATGTATCACAGAATAACTGACAACTTCCATTTGCACGCTTATGAAGCAATGGAAAAGGAAGGGACTTCTTGCTAACCAGGTCAGAGAAGCAACCTTCATAATTATTTACAAAGAAATGAGATATATAAAGTATATCTGAGCTATTTTCTATGTTTGTACGTTTTGTACATTGTAATTAAAATTGCCATTTCACCAAGTACCATGAACTTCACATGCTATTTTTAAACCTCGACTTCACATCATCATTTCACAACATGAACTCACTTGTTTATGCAGCTGAAGTATTTGGGGGTTTAGTGGTACTATTATTGCTATATTTTAAAATATGAATTGTATTTAAAATATTTACATTTTAAATATGGGTAGCAATACTTCCTAGAAGGTCTATATTGAGTAAATCCTGCCCCCATGACAGGTTTGCCTGCATATTTTTTTAGGATGTCATTGGTATCAGTGTGCTAGCTTAACAAGGAGCATTAATAGTAGGATAAAGATGAATATGAGTTCCTCTAGTGTTACTTTGGGAGCTACATGAATATCTGAAGAAACAGCATAGCCCTACAAAAATCGCCACGTCTAGTATCCTTTTTTTCCTTGTTTTAATCTTCTTAATTGTCCTCTTGTATCACTAATCACCACTGGGACAGCGTGATTAGTAGGTTAAAGAAAATACCCTACTATGAGAGTAAAAGCTGAAACAGCAGCTTTTCCTTGAGGTCAGGCTGATAGAAGGAATCTGCAAGTATTATAGAACTCCAATTCCAGCTCAGCATCACCTCCTGCACCCATTTTTAGAGACTTGAAGCCCATTTAGGAAATAAAGTCAGCACTCAGCAGCGAGCAGGTCCTGTATAAAGGTGAAAACCTCCACTGTCATCTTGCTAAGCCTAAGAGATGAATGTTACTTGGTCATCCATGAATAAGTGGAAGACTGTTTTAAATACTGCTGGAAGGAATGTCAGTAGCTCAGAAGGACTGGCCTTCTTGCAGGCATGCAAAAGCAACCGCTGCCAATTTAGAAACAGGCTGCAAGAAGTAGAAAATGTGTCCCTATATGTATAAATAAATGCATCTAACAAAAAATACTCTGAAAATCTGTTTCTCCTTCCCTGCCTGCCTGAAGCTGTTCCCGTTTTTTCCAGTGCTCTGCTTGAAAACATTATTAATTGCCAAAACACTGTAAAGAACGCACCGAGTCAGGTGCTAATGAGATTTCATTGTTGCAGGAGTGAAAAATCCTTGCTAGGTGTTGCTAGCTCCCATTTCACTTTGCCTTTTCTTATTTTGCAGCCTGAGCCTCGCCAGTGCTGGCACGGAGGGGCTGGAGGTGAGCCTAGACTCCTGCCAGGCACAGAAACCCTCAGCTGAGCAGTGTCAAGGAGCCGTCTGCATTGCCTCGGCTGGTGCAGCACACACACACCTGATCCGAAGGCTTGTTTGTGTTGGGCTTTCCTGAAATCCTCTTGGCGGTCTGTAGAGCTTATCCACTCCTGGGTTTGCCGCTGCCACTCTAGTGACGTCCTAGCTTGCCGGTCCAGGGAGCTCTTTGTTTCATCTATGTTCGGAGCATGCTGCCTCTCAAGAGAGCTTCCTTTCCTCTCTGCTGAGCCTCCACGCTGGCCAGGGACTATTTGCTGCCTTAAACCCTGACCAGGGGGCGGGTCGGGTGGTGGTGGAAGATCTAAAAAACGTGAATAAGATTTAGATGAACTAATTTTTTCAATTGAAACAGAAGGTGTATTTGATGCTGAAAAGAAAAGTCCCTTGCAAATGGCATGAGTTACTTCCCTTGGTCATTGTAAAAGGAGGAAATTCCACGTTAAACAGAAATGTGCTTTTAACTTTAGCTGGTTTTTTGTTCAGGTTACTGTGCTGTTAGCTCTTTCTAACTTCCATAAAAATCAATAGATTATGAGCCCTGACTTGCACTTCTAAGCACGGGGCTTATTTTCTGTGGGGTATACTCCAGCTGGCTCTTTCAGTAACAGCAAGCAAGTAGGGCTATGGAAAACTGATCTGTGCCAGCTGACTATTTCCCCCCATCATACTGGGGATTGCTTCATCATGCCCACTTTTGAGCTTCACCTTCAGCTCGAGGTTTAAACTCAAAATCCAAGTCTACTTTAACAAAATCAATGAAATGCCACAAAAAATTTGGAGAAAAATCATTCACAAAACTACTGTCATTGGAAAAGCCTCAATACATCTGAGAAAAATGCATGTTGAAATGGAACCACCAAACAATGGGTGAGCATTTTATTCAAGTACTGTTTGAAAGGTCAGCCAAGAGCTGGAGTCTTCACAGACAAGATAATGGCCACTCAAGTTTAGCAGTCCTGCAAATATAACGGATCAAATACAATTTCAGCTGAACACTGAAAAGCACTTGCCTGGTCTCTAATAACTCCTGTGCTTTTCAAGTTTAACACTTAGGCTACGAAGATGCTTGCAGAATTGAAGATCAAGCTTCTAACCACATTTGTGGAGGCAAAAGTACATTTTGTTTATTAGTCCTTGACCCAAGGTAATTATAGAACCTGGATAACTATAATTCCAAATGTAAGATTTTCACTTAAACTTATTTGATAGTATAGAAAAGCCTCAGATTATTAAGAAACAAACCAATCAAACCAAAATAAAAATAAACAGAAAAGAGAAGCAACTTTAGTATTGTAATGAAAAATCTCTCATACTGGATAGATATATATGTAGAACACTTGTTGATAATTATGGTTCGGGGCAATTCGTAGCCCAAGTAAATCTGTGCAGCCCCACCAACTTCACTATATCTAGGTCAGTTTACACTAGATGTGGATCTGTCCTGCTTTTGAGTCTTTTATCTTACAGCATTGTGGAGGTTTATCAGGGGATTGAACTTGGCTCAACAATAGACATGGCAATGTAAACCTCTGCTTTGCCTGCAGGAAAGTCTGATGTTTATAGCTAGTGAAACTGCAGTTCATTTTAGAAATCAGTGAGGAGGCCTTTGGAGGGAATTCATTTCAAAGTCTGTATTCTGGCTTTATAAAACGCTACGCAGACTTTTTGTCACGTCCTTCCTGTTAGAGGTGGACATACCTCATACCCCATATATAGGGCAGAAATGCTTCCAAAGCGGCTGAGATGTCATTCCATCAACACTGTCTCACAGACAAATGAGGACGTGTTGGTTATTTGTGTCTATAAGGGAAAGAAGTTGTATTGGATGTTGCTCCCATACTTTTGCTCACAGCTGAAGTGCTATATCCTGGATTAAGATAACTGCCTTGTGGCTAGAACAGCCTTATAATAATCTGCCAGTGAGCTTGGTGTATGCTTTATGTTCAGCACTAATTTATTTGAGAAATTTTTAGTTATGAATATAGATGTGACCTTTCATGACAATGGCTATACATGAGTTACTGTAGATGGAAGCGGGAGGGTATGGGAGCTTGCCAATGTTAAAATTGCTTTATAGCGTTGGCTTCCAAAATGGCATTTCTTATAATTTATTTCACTGCGATCATAACCAGTTAATGTGGAGAATCACAACACTGGCATCTGCTTATGCAATCTGAAATAGAGATTACTGAAGTTGTGATTTATAAGCACTTTATGGAAATGCATTGAATCGAATAAACACAGTCATAACATGACATCTGATATTGCAATTTTGCAAGATAGAATATTTACCCTTCAATAGAAACAAAGTTTTTAAGTAGCATCATAGCAAAAAAAAGAAGAAAGAAAAGAAAGGAAGAAAAAAATTAAAATTAGTGCAGTATTAAACTTCTTAACATACAACACCCTTCTCTGGAAATTGCTATCTAATAGTTGCTATTAATTAGATACTGAGAATGAAAGAAGGTTTGTACATAAACCATACTGCATGTGGTAGAGCTAGCTGCAACTCCTCAAATTATTGTAGATTTATGCTGCTGACCTACTGTTAACACAGTTCTTGCTTTCGTCCAGTCACAAAACGGGTGTAACAATTGCTTTATGCATAGAAGCGAAATGAAAGACTGTGTCTGTAAAGTTCTTTGAGTGTTTCAGACCTGTGGGTAAGTTGAAACTAAAAATAAAACTTATCTTTTAATGAAGCTTCACACAATTCTAGAAGAGTTACAGGTACTACGGAATTAATGCAAGCTGGCTCCAGCCTGCGTACAGAAAGGCTGAACTATGTCAGACATGTCTGAGAAGATCTGTAAGAACTAGACAACTGACTAAATAGTTTGCTTTTTCACCTTCAACCTCACTCAGGTTGATGGTCAAAGTAACACCTACCTTTCCTTTTTAATTAAAGAAGCTGGAAGAGAACTTCATTTGGAAATGTGGCTTTTTATTTGCTCTACAGCTTAAATCCTGCAGTGCAAATCTTCTGCCTTTGGTAAATTACTAAATATGCTCTGTTATCTTGCCTGGGCATATATAAAGACCCCGTGTATTTGGAGTCATGAGTTTCTTCCTGCAGTTCCTCAGAGAACGGTCTTGCCTTTCCTTTCCTCTCCTCAGCCAAACATGTCCACACATGACTATGCACGTGTCTCCACACACGCTTGCAAGCATGCACATACATGATGGTTAATAGTTGGCATTTCAACTGCTAATAAAGGAGTAACAGATATCGGACAAGCTAGTAATCTCAGTCCCTAATGGGCAGACTTACTGCCACATACAGGCAAGCCAACTCTTTCCATCATGTCTAGCACTTCAGAGAAGTTCTGAAACAAGAAATTTGTGGATTCAGCAGCATTTTCAGTGAAGATATCCAGAATGTTCTCACTGATTATCACTGTAGTTCCACCTAAATGACATTTATCTTCCAGGTGCCAGACAAAACCCTCACTGAGCTGGTAACTTACAAGGCCAGTGGGATGTCATCCAGACTACCACTTGCAGCCTCTAATGGCAGGATGATCAAACTTGCAAGGCAATTTGTAAGTGCTTTGGTGAGGAGGTGATGGTCTTATTGATTTAGTAATGGAGGGATTGTGATTGAGAAGCTGTAGGACATCAGAGTGCCTGATAAGAAACAGATGGATGTTCACCCTGGGATTACTCCAGCTCTTCTTTAGAAGGCAGAACATTGGCCAAATGATTCAGACACCAGTCAAGCTTTGGCACAGACTCTCATTATTAACTGGAAAAAGCAGCAAGTTACAGAACTTACAAGTATAAGGACATTTCTTTCTACCTGTGCCAGTGATTTGTTTTCCTAGGGGTGATAATTACTGCAACATTTAATAAGCCTCTGAACCACTTTCTAGCATCAGAAGATAAGCATCTTCTCTACGGTGATCCACCTTAGCAAAGATTGATTTGTAATACGGAATAGCAAGTCAGTGGCAAAGCTAATAGAAGTCTTAAGTTCCAGTTCTCCTTTTTAACCCCTTACCATACTTCCCTTCTGTCTCCTCTTTGGTTTTTATTTGAACATCGTGCTCCGCTGAGGAAGAGCTTTTAACTTTAGTCATGCAGTTACTGTGCCACAACCTATATGACAGATTCCACTGTTCTGCAATTTGTGAATACATCGTTTCAAGGGGAAAAAAAATATTCCTTGAGCACTAGAAGAAAAAACCCTCCAATTTGCTTTTTATGGTGCAGTGTGTGTTTTGAATAAAGGTTTTCCTCATCTGAGGGATTCATAAAGTATTCCTCCTCTGTGGATTTGCTGTGTCTCTGGGGTCTTTTAGGATGCAGAAGTTAAAAACCAAGTTGCACAGCAAGACAAATATGGAGACTCAATCTAGAGTCAGTCTCTAGAGGATTCTGACCTGCGACCAGAGAAAATGAACAATCAGGCTTTTAGGGGATTTGTGTGGATCGCTGTCAAAAGTAAGCATGAAGTTGTACCCTCATATGCTTACACAGTCTGGAATCTGTGCTATGTGCTAAGCAATACAGCTCCTTAGGCCTTTTCCACTGTCCCCACATGGGTACAGTTAACAAGGAGGAAGTGTTCAGGATGTGTATGGGAAAGGGCAGAGAAAAGACATGGCTGGAGCTTACCTGGTCAATGAAAATTTAAGACAACAGATTCCCAGTATGTGATGACACTTAAACCCAGGATGCTAGGACCCAGCCAGCTTGGGAGTTTGAAGACAAACCAAGTACGTTCTCGTGATGAATCCAAGAGGAAGCAGTTGTAAGTGAATGGATTCGAGACATCTCAAAGCCAGGAGAAAATAAATAAATAGTGATGCTTCCCACTGAAACTGGGACAGCCCAGGGCCAAATGACGTGTCCTAGATTAGATCCAGAATTGCTGGATCTACCTCAGGTTCTCCTACTTCCTTTTTCTTTACTGTAGCTTAAGCACAGTGGTATCGTCTCTGTCAAGTTCACTGCAGTATTCCACACAAAGCATGCAGTGTATACTAGAGGTTCCTAAATTCATTCTGTTTACAAACACACGGGTGGCAGCAGCAATCTTTAGCTTCCTTAGCTGGCAAATGTTCTTTTGCAAATTTAGCTGTGACTCAGACTTGCTGTTACGTTTTAATGACCAAATTCAGTAAGAATTGAAGTGGAAAAGCTGTACCATTTGTGTTTGTTTGTTCCTGTGGTAAGACTGGATGAGAAAGGGTCCTCTTATTACTCCATTATTATTTACATTATAAATCTTTGGAACATACAGTAAGCACTTTAGCTAGTTTGTAACAGACAGTTCTAAGCCAAAAGTGTCCATAAGCTGTTACGGTTACTCTCTGTCTAAGAGCTGGATTGCTGAAGGAAGTAGTATATAACTGGTATTCTGACACAAATATATGAAACAAACTCCAGTAAGATCAATATTTTATAAAGAATAAATAAAAGACAATAGGAGATTCCTCTTTTAAAATAAATCTCCAAACCTGACCTCTTTCACTAATATAAAACAAGGCCAGATTTTACGATGGAGTCACTGCCTGAGGAGTCACACTTCCACCTGTCTCATCACCTGAACTGGAATCCCATTAATTTTCTGCTACCCACCTTATTGTTAAATATTTCTATAGCAATAGTACTCCAAAGCAGAAGTATTAAGGTCCCACCATACTGAGTGTACCACAAACTCACATGTACACCGAATTTGTGGCCCAAAAGGCCCACAGTTCATGGTGAGAGGATGTGTCACACAGAAGGGTTAACTGAATGAAAGATTATTGCCAGCACCACAAGCAACACCCATAATTTCCAGTTACTATTCTTACAGACATATCTATTTAATAGATCTGTGCAGCAGGGAGGCCTCTGGAATATATCCACAAGGGTAGGGCATTAATGTTTAAACCAATTCAGATCCATACGAGCGGAGTCTAAGCTACTTTAAGTGGCTTCCCCAAATAATATGGTAGTGAGAATGAGTCCCAGGGCATGACGTGTAACCCTTCGGTGGACTTTCACTTCTGGAACCTGTTCTCTAGGGTCATGGTCTGACAAACAAGGAATCTGGCAGAGCATACTGCAGAACCTTATCTGTACCCCTGATGACATTAGTGAGAGGAGAGCTCTGGTGGTTTTAGTGGCCACAGTCCACCTTGCAAGCTCTTAATACATTTTATACATGCACCTAGAGTGACAAATAGCACATTATAAATAAAACTAAACATACTCTCCACCGAATCTCTTTATTACCTGTCGAAAGAAGATAATGGAGTTGGACTTGATGATCCCTATGGATCAGCGACTACAACTCTCAAGTAAATGTTACTAGCATAAGGGAGATGTTTATACTAAAATCTAAAGTAATTTTTTTTTTTCTTAATTTTACCTTCCCCATTCACAGGAAGATTTGTCAAGGTGTACTGAGGAGATAGACTCAATGGCATCACACCCACTACCATGGTCCAGACAGCGTTATGAGAGCCACTGAGGCAGGTGGGACAGTCTAGTTCTCAGAACTGCACCACTTTAAACACTGAAAGCATGAGGAAAGTGATCACGTCTCCATCTGCGTGGCATTACAGATATCCTTAGTGGTGCCTTTAACACTGTTTTTCCATTTGCTGGCTTCTCCCTCTGATCACTTAAACACCTACAGGGGCCACGACAGAGATCAGAAGAAATGAAGGGGAGGTAGCCAGCCAGCCACCTTTCTAACCAGACCTCCTCCAACAGTTACAGGCAGCAATTGCATCCTTTGCCAAACTCAAGAAGAGGCAGACAAAGACAATGGAAGACTGAACTGATCTTGGTCATTAATAGAGCAGAATAAACATGCCTGAAATTTCCAGATGGGAAGTGGTGATCTGAGAGAAGAGGAGATGTAAAGGAAAGAAACAAAGCCACTGAGGTCAGTGGATGTCAGGAACGAAGCAGCATGGACAAGGCATGAGGCAGAATCATGAGAGAAGTGTAGAATGTATTACTTTAACTGTTGGGCAGCTGTCAAAACCAGCACAAAACAAACAATGCATTTTGGGACTAGCCCTACCTTTCTCCCTAGGAATTCATGGCATTCTGCTATTGCTTGTGGTGGCTACTTTCATATAATGTAATATTAACCACGGGCCATCTTTTTAATGTCAACTCATGTATAATTTTGGGGTAAGACACTGAGATCTGAGGAAACCTAAGAGATGCTAAGATGTTCAGAGCTGAAACGAAGAAAGGCTCCTTGAAGACTCACTTAACCAAGTTCCACAGCGCTAGCGTTGCCATGTTGCTCATATGGGAACCTGCAAACCCCACTTCACCAAGCAAAAAATGTACCATAATGTATATTCTTTAAAAGATTACTCTATATTCTCCCACTGCTTGTTGCAGGTTCTCATCAGGGACTTCACCACAACACTTACCATCTGTTATCCCCTCCCTGCGATGAGGCAAGGAGGGTTGGTCCAACCGTCCTCCCTTGTGTTTTTTAGTGGGCCTCGGCCTCTGACTCTGATTGACAGCTGCACTGGTGTTGCTGTCAGTAGAAAAAGGACTGCTTGGCCGAGGTCTCTGAGAGGAAGGATATGCTTTGCCTAAAAGAGAAAGAGAAACCAGATGAAAAAAGCAATGTTATTGCCTTGAAATGGGCTGTTCTACTAATGTCTGTTCTGAAACATTACATCAGGTCTAATTCTCAGAGGCGAGCAAGTGTCCCCTCCAGGTACCCACTAATGACAACTGCTCGAAGACACACTGCAATAAGTGAAGTGAGAAACTTGGCATTCTTTTATCTTTAACTTTTATAATTAAACTCATTCCATCTGTTGTGATAAAACTACTGTATGCCATGTAAATCCTACCTGCTCCGTGTGCTGAGCAGATGTGTTATAACAACTCCTCAGCCTTGAGAAGGGAAGGAATATAGTTCTGCAATCATATCAAATTTATCTCCTCTTGCCTTTCACCTTCACGTTTGCTGAGCTGGCTTCTCATTTTAGGGGGTCCCATATGCACTGTATATCTGGAGTAACTCCAGTGAGATAAACGTAACTGATTTTGTAAGCCATGTAGCAGTGTAGGTTTGAATGCTTAAGAGGCCTCTTTTCTCAAGGAATAAAAATGGAGGTATATTTAAATGCTAAAATGTTCACGTTGATTTTCAGTGGGTTTATATGTCAAAAAAAAAATGTATACTAAGTTTATTCCTCATATCTTTATATATGTATCTGTGTATATATATACTAATCAAGCTGCATGATTTCTCTTAAAAAAATAATCCTTGATGCTGTTCTATGGAGCAGATCATTAAAAGCATCATGCAGGAACAGCTGGAGCACAGTTTACTTACAACATTCACTTCCTCTTATTTGATGTTTTTATTCAGTTAACTATGCTTATGGATTAATAATAACTGATGAAAACTAAAGATCACCATCTTTTACCTTCCTTTTTTCATCTGTATGTCATTCCTGACAAGTATATTTTAATTACTTTAGAACTGATACTTCAAATTCTTAAATGTTTTTATACTGTCTGCTGAGGATAATGCCAGAAGGTCTGCCCTTTCAATGCTAGTTTAGGCCCAAACGGTGTAAAAGTTCATGGGAAGTGGCAACTGACCCCAAAATAGTAAGGAGTTCATTTATCTTCTGGTTAACTTGGAACAGGATCTACCCTGCCGTGAGTTTTGTCTTCCAGTAAAACCTTCTAACTGATGTGCAGCCTGAGGAGGACACTGCTCTTAGGCAGGCTTGTCTCCCAGCGGCATGTCACTGCCAGCTATCGGAGGTTGCCACGTTTGAATCCCTCATGTGGATGTTCCCTATGTCCAATTGAACTTAAACAGAAGGTATGACTTTGTGAACCTGGCTCATTTTAACTGAAATGGGTTACAGAACACTCACCCAAGTAGCTAATTCTGGAGCAGTAATAATCATTTGGGGAAAGGCTGGAAACATTAACCTCTATAGCTGGCACAGCTGCAGCCAGACAAAGACAAGTCACCAAGCCCTTGTTTCATAGATAAGGACAGAACAGCAAAATAGATATAGACAAAATATCAAAATTTCAGTTAAAAAAAGAACACTAATGCAAAGAACTTCAGACGTGAGCCTGAAATCCCACCCTAGCTCACAGCACACTGCACAGATGTTTTGCTAAAATAAACTTGCGGCATGCAAGTGCAACTAGTGAGTGCAGGACGAAGAGTCTTCACACTGATTCTCTTGACTAAAGAAATGTGCTTATTCATTCAGAATGTTGGTTTGAAAAAGAAATAGGCACCGAACATTCTCTCTTTTATACCCCCATGAAAACAAGGAAAAATAAATAGCACTGACCTAAGTCAGACATGGGGCAAACACAAATGATGTGCAGGCTCCCTAAACACATTTTTCAGTGCACCTAATAACTGATTACAGTTTCTTGTATTCGTATGCAGCCCTTCCAGTAAGAACTGCTGAGCATGTCACACTCTCTGATAGATTTCGTGTGTAAGTGAAAAGAAGAATGAATCTACTAATTCTTGGTTTAATTTCCCAATTAAGGAAAGGAAAGCTGTCTGAACTTCACGGCAAATCACACAATGGCTTCTGGAAACTGGATTCAGAACGTCTGGCAGGAGAGACACCATGCACCTAGATTTACCAGTGCCTCTTATGCTTGGCAATCAAACACACTCATGTGAGACTATCAAGTTGGACTTCTCCCTTCATATCAATGACGATATCTCACAGCTGTTTTGAAAGGCTGAAAATAACTGTCCAGACTGCAAAGGAATAGAGAATCAGGACCTTCAGAAATAATACTGCTGCTTCTCCACTACAAGACACCATTTTGCACAGTGCGGGGTTTATTGTGGTGCAGCAGGTCCATAACAGGCATGTCTGATGACCCATGCTACCCTGTAAGCACTGGGGAGTTATTCCCATCTGCCGAGGTTTCTGTGAGGAAAGGAGGGGAGGGCTATCTGTTTACACGTGGGGTTTATTTTGTTTCCGTTTTGCCTGCTGGATCACTAAGGATTAAGAAGGTAATAATCAAAAATCTCTACCACGAACGTTGGATATTTTGGATACCCTAAACTTTAGCAGTCTGTCTGAGGCATTACATGCAAGTACTTAGTTTAAGTGCATTTGTGACCTAACTAAGGTAGGAAAAATAAGTGACAGGAGGGCTCTCCTCCTTTCCTTGTACTTTCCATTTACGTAGCTACAATAAGAAATTATATTTACTTAAAAACATGTGTTTGTGTGCCCATTTACTTTTGCTACGTGTGTGTCTGTGATAAAAGCCAAATTAACTTTGGGTGAATCTGCATATTAGCTTTTACTGAGGTCAAAACCACCACCAAAATACAGTTGGGAAGGATTTGCTCCTTTCATTCAAGACTTTAGGAGACTCTTCAAGCAAAACTGTATTATAAATTACAGTTTGGCCATCATAGTAGATGAATGAAGGTCTACAGCCATTTTTGGTTTGTTTTGCTTTGCTTTTTCCAAATGATGAGACAGATTTATTCTATTTCCCACTACTGTAAGAAGCAAGTGAGAGTTTTCACTACTTTTAACGATGAAATAACTTTTAAGGGTGATCACAGTCAATGGCAAAATTCCCAGTGATTTGAGAAAAGCTGTGTCTGTCCACCCTGTACTTTGTTAGCCAAACAGGACTTTGCCATTGATTCTGTTCTTCATTCCTAATGTTCCTATAAGGCAGTGTTTGCCATGAAGTCATAGTATGTAGAAAGCCTGTGTTTCAGCTCTACCATGTGGAGACATTTCTCACAAATTTTACTGAAGGACATACTTCACACCAGACTAACAGTAAGAAATTTTAAATAATAGGAACATTATGGGACCTAAGGGCAGGAATGGGCTGAGATGGCATAACAAAAACATGACCCAGGTTCATCCTTTGCTATTAGATTTGTGGATTTAAATAATTAGTTACTTCTGCTATTTTGATAAGACAAAGCAAATGCAAATACATTAATTTTTTATAGAATATTTAAAAATAACTTACTTTTTTTTTTACAGAAATAAAACTTATGGAGCTTTAATAACATGAACTAATTTATGCTTACTTTTCAGTAATTCATTTTAGAAGACTGGCTGTTTTCAAAAGCAGTAATCACTTTACCTTTGTTGCACTTATCTTGGCAGATTCAGTTGGCATAATTTAAATTAAATTTTATCAAAATATATTAACTTATTGAATTAACTGCCTTTAAATCAGCTATTAAAAAGGCTTTTAAACAGTTTGTATTGTTAACAATAAAAGCACAACAATCCACCCCATGCTTAGAAAAACTTCACAGAAAAATACACTTTTGCAGGAAGAGATGCAACTGAAGAGCAGGGATGGAGATAATAGTTTAAATACGTTGTTCATCACCAGAGATTTTGCAAGAACCAAAATCATCAAAAGACTGCACGGGAGAATTATTAGTGATCTCTTCATCAAATTAGTAAACCGAGCATATGTCAGTAAATCTATAGCAGAGTCAGCACAGAGGGAAACTGCAGCAGATTGAAAGTGCAGATTAAAAGCTTATGCTATTCACTACTTCAAATCACTAAAACCAAAACCTAACGCAAGGTTTCGTTTAAAATATACTGATCAAAGTATCTCCATCCACCTTATTCCATGCATGTTAGACAGGTGTGAGACGCAGGTTCACTGAGAAGAGAAGAATAGGCAGAGACACCCTTCATGCAAGAAAGCATCAACTTTGAATCTACAAACCTGTTCTTGTCAGACTGGTTCCATCCAGCCTAAAACCAGCTTTATCTGCTGCTGCAACCAGTGCTTGTGCAAAACTGCCGCTGGTAAAGATCGAGTCATCTGAGGAGCTACCTACACTAGATCTATGACTAGAAAAGTTACGGTCCTCATCAGACGCAGAACCCCATCCATTTACCATTGAACCTAAAAACAAATGTAGGGGTCTAGTGAGTTGTGCACATTTGATATTTGTTTGATCATCTAAAGCTTAAAAGACCCATTTAACATGTCCTTGCTCAACAGGAAACCCAAAATTCATTTGACAGAGCTTGGTACAAAAGAGCAGCATTCAACTAAACCTTGAAGACCCACATAATACGTCCTTTCACAACAGGAAACCCGAAGTTTATCTGACAGAGCTTGGTATAAAAAAGCACTATCAAAGCTAAGTGGGATTTCATGCATAGCTTGCCCCATGTTGCTTTGATCCTGTAAACAAAATGATACATATTCTCTACAATTGCAAAGGCTCCATAATAAATTCGTTTGAAAGGTAGCAGTTTTCCCCTGGGATTGAAATGAATGTGATTATTTTTTTTATTTGAATTATTATAAATCAATATCTAGTTTGATATTTGCAAAACAAAGTCTTAATTTAGGACAGCACAAGTGTAAGTCTCAGTAGGTATAGCTGAAGTCACATATGGGCTTCAAGAGCTATCCTGAACAAGACTGGCATTATGTCATTTTCTCCAGCAAAACCTTAAAATAGATGAGCAATTTTAATGGCCTGAAGAAATCTGACCTAAAGCGGTTCACTCTATGGATTAAAGTTACTTTCTTAAAAGGTTAGAAACAATTAACATTC